TATACCTATGTGGTAGGCAGTTTCAAGCTTTCCCAGAGAGCAAAGTTGACACGGGACAGAAAGGGGCACTCATTTTGGGGCCAGGAAACACAAGGAAAGACTGGAACAGAGCAGGGACCTAGAGCTGGCTCTGCTTCACCTGTACCACTTAGATTTCGCCCCCTGGCCCATGGGCACCCCCATATTCCCCAGCCAAATAAGCAGCCCAGGCCTCCAAAGCAGAGGCCACAGGTCTGCCTGGGCAGGGCAGGTGCAGGCTGGATCGACTTTCCAGAAGCTATATATATATAAAGACTGCTGGGAGCCCCAGGCCTGCCGCTCCCTGAGGGCGCAACACCATAGGGACCCAGCCAGGCCCACATTCCTGCCTAGAGGCCAGCTCTCCATTTATAGCCCCTGGTCAGGCTGGCCAAGGGAGCTGAGTAGGGAGGACTGGAAAGGGCAGAGGGAAAAGGGGCAGCTGAGGCAGCTGCCCTCCCCACCTCCCACTAAGGAGCCCCTCTGTGTGAAGACAGGGAAACTGAGGCCCAGGGTGAGTTGTGCACTTGCCCTAGATCACAGAGCCCAAAAGGCTGTTTTAGAGGGAAACATATAACTCCCACCCTATAATCCCTCAGCCCATTGTCAGTGGCCTCTCTCAGTGCCCATGAACAGGGGCACCTTGAGTAGATCCATAGTGTAAGGTTTGAACTCTCTGTTTCCAAACTTGATGTCCTTTTTTCCTCCCTGCCCCTAATCTACCACTTGGACTAAAAGGACACCAGGTCGAGGGCATACACACTTCTCCCTGCTCTTTGGGCACAGGGATGGGATGACAGTGTTGACAAACCTCTCTCCAAAGATATGGCACAACCAGAAGAATGATCCCAAGTGGGAATGGATCCCAGGCCTGGAGAGATCTACAGAAGTCACCACGTTCAGTGACTTCCAGACATTTTTCATGCAACAAAGCCCAATATAAGAGTGGTGTTTTACCACTAGAATGTGTGTTCACTTTAAAATAGTGCTTCTAACTTACAGAATATGAAACCAGAAATCAAGTTTAAAACTATTAAAACAGTTTAGATTTCTAACCCTTAAGTATAAAATATTAATATATCTGATAAGTTCAAACATATAGTACTTATTGTAAACATACCTTGATGACAACCCACAGAAAGTTTTCTTGAACAGAAAACATAAGAAGTAAAGTTGGAATTCTTTGAGTCTCAGTATCCAATTTGTTTCTGTATTTTCTTTGTTTGCTCAAGGTTTGAGGGAAAAAAAAAACTAGATTTGCATAGATAAGTAGTTTGAAGAGGTTCCCTGCACATTGAAGAATACTCTTCAATTAAGAGTATCTTCATTTATTCCTTCCTTCCTTCATCCATCCAAGAAATACTTATTGAGTGCATACTATATGCCAAGCATTCTTCGGGAGCTTGAACAAATAAGAGGAAATATTTGCTTTAATCCAAATCATTAATATAACAATTATTTACATTCCTCATTGTGAGTTTAAGTCAAATGAAAACACTCAAGTTTACAATAAACACCAAATTTCACTGTAGTGTACTATTACCATATTGTAACAGGCCACCTAGAATTAATTGCTCAATGTAAGGGGGCTTGCCCCAAGCCTGGGAAAGATGTCTGTCTAATCAAATATATGGCTGCCCATTTTTTAAGAAATACAGCCATTTAATGAAGAAACACACATTTATGAAGTTCAAATATATGCTTTGAGATCCAAAAAGCATGAGACCATTCATTCCTTCATTTGACATTTAACAGGTACCTACTATGTGACTAATGCTATGACGGTTTCTGGAAATGCCCTGGTTGCCATCTTTGCCTTCGTGATTGACTTCATATTAACCAATGAACAAACTGATAGAGAAAAAGGTTAGAGGGTAGCAACACCAAGAAGGAAAAGGTAGGTGCTATGACTCAGAGTAAGGGAGATGGCTACCTGAAAAGGAATGGTCAGAGACATCCCAAGGAGGCAACGTGTGAGCTGAGATCTGATGCATGAAAAGCAGTCAATCTTGGAAGAGCCCAGGGGAGAGTGCAATAAGCTTAGAGCAGCAAGTTCAAGACTCTCAGGCAGGATTCTGTCCAGAGCATTGAAAGAAAGGAAAGGAGGTCAGCTAACTGGAATGGGGCCAATCAAGGAAATGGTGGTTTCAGATGAAGTTGGAGAGAGAGACTGTGGCCGGTTTGTGTCCCATAGACATACCAGCCTCCTTACTGTGCTTTCAAACTGCCAAACATAGCACTGCCTCAGGACATTTATACGTGCTTATTTTTCTATCTGATCCTAGATATCTTCTTTTCCTCCCTTTATTCAGTTTTATTTCTTTTTCTTTCTTTCTTTCCCCTTCTTTCTCTCTTTCCTTCCTTCCTCTCTCCCTCCCTCCCTGCTTCCTCCCTCTCTCCCTCTCCTTCCTTCCTTCCTTCCTTCCTTCCTTCCTTCCTTCCTTCCTTCCTTCCTTCCTTCCTTCCTTCCTTCCTTCCTTCCTTCCTTCCTTCATGATTTCTGTGCTAAGGACTGAACCCAGTGCCCTAGCACATGCTAGGCAAGCATTCTACCACTTAGCCACATCTCAGCCCTCCTGCTTCCCTTTATACAGCTCTCTGTTTATGTGTAAGCAATTTAGAAAGGGGTTTAAAAACCCCTAATATTTAACCTCCACATACTTCATTGCTTTGTTCCTATCATGGTTTAGATATGAGGGGTTTCCCAAAAGCTCATGAGTGAGACAATGTAAGAAAGCTCAGAGGTGAAATGATTGGGTCATGAGAGCCTAACCTACTCAGTGCATGAATCCACTTGACTGGACTAACTGGATGGTAACTATCCAAAGGTAGAATGTGGCTAGAGTAAGTGCACACACTGAGGGTGTGCCTTTGGGGTATATATTTTGACCCTGGCGAGAAGAACTCTCTCCTTCCTTGTTGCCATGTCCTGAAATGCTTTCCTCCTCCTGATGTGACGGGCTGCCTCACCTTGGACCCAGAACAGGCGAGTCAGCCATCTTGGACTGAGACCTGAAGTTGTAAGCCCTAAATAAACTTTTCCCCCTCTAATTTTTCTTGTCAGTGCTTTTGGTTACAGCCCAAAACAGTTCACTTGCCTTGCCTTTTTTTTTTTTTTGGTAGAAGTTATAACTGCATTATATACTTCCTTGCTTATTTGTTTATTGTCACCCTACCCTACAATTTAAGCACCATATGAACAGGGTCTTGGTCTTTTTCCTTGTTACATCTCCAATACCTGCACCAGTCCCTGGCATATAGTGAATACTACACACAAGTAGCGTCAGTAAACAACGGTGATGTAATACATGAAAAGGGACCTTTGACACTACTCCCAGTGTCAGAGAAGTAAAGAAGGTGGGTCCCCCATGAGCCTTCTGGGTTTGATGTGAAGAAAGAGCTTCCCAAGACCCAGAAAGGCCAACTAGAATGGCTTCCCCAGAAGTTTATGGGAAAGGCACAAAGATCACTCTCACTTAAATTTCTGGTGTACTGGAGGGAAGACCAGGCAAGGGTGGCTACATACATGATTAGACAAACATCTTTCCCAGGTAAGACCTGAGGCATGCCCCCTTCTGTTGGGTGCCCCAGAGCTGTGAACTGCAGATTCAGAAAGAGGCTGCACAACCTCATGGGAGTGGGATATGCTGGGGCTTGTAGGGAAGCCAGAGCTCTTGGGAGGTTGTGGCCTCCCCGTTCTGTTCCCAACCTCTCCAGTGAGTTGCAGGGAAGAGACACAGCTGAGGCCTCCAGAGCACAGGTCCCTGCCAGGACTTAGTGCCCCAGACAAAGGCTAGGAAGCTACTGGACATAACACTCCTGCAAATGCGGGGGACAGAAGCAAGACTCTAGTTAGCATACCCCTGCACCTCCACTGAGGGCTTCCACATGCTCCCTCTATTCAGATTCTCATCACCACCACAATGACTTCAAGACACAGTTATTATTCCCAGGTTTATAAAGTGGAAACTGCGGGTTTGGAGGAGATGTGTCTTCCACAAAATCCCCAAAAGACTCCTCTGATGGTAGGTGGGGTGGTCTTCAGGCCAGGTCCTGGGTTTGGTGATCTTTACAAAAGGCACATCCCAAGGCTTTGTACAGTGAAAGAAAAAACAAGCCCCCTGGCAGAGGGAGTTTTCTTCCCAACTAAAGAGGCATCTCAGCCTACCCCCAAGTCATGGCTGCGGACACCCGACAGTTTAAGGTGGGCAGGAAACATGCAGGTTAAGGTGAGCAGGAATCTGCCTCCCTTCCTTTGGACCTCTGGCCCTGGGCAGGATCCAAATTTTAGCATCCATTCCCAACTCCTGTACAGGTGTAGCAGAGTTCCTAAGCTTCCAGGAAATATGGCTAAGTTCGCGTCCTGCAGAGCTACTCCCTGGGTAGACAGGTCGAGTGTTATGGCCTCCACGTCGTTTGTCTCAGGCACGCCCACTTAGATCTTCGGCTCTCGCTGTCTCTCATAGGCTTCTCTGCCCCTGACTCTAGATTTCTGCTCTCTCAGCTTCTTTGGGTGACTTTTTCACCATCCATCTTAGGTCTAGGTGTATCTGCCCTATTGCCCTGCGTCTCCCTCCAGATCTCTCCTGGTCTGATTTCTACCTTTGTCCTGCTTCTACTTTCCTTTAAAAAACAGGCGACAGACTGGGGTCCAAAGTAAACTCCGAGATGAATGCTCCCGGACAGCATTCCCAGTGGACGCAAGTGTCCTGTGCTGGGGAGGCTTGGAAAGGGTGTGCTGGAAGACGAGGCGCTACTGGCTTTGGGCTGCCAGTCTGCCTCTCTCCCTATCTAGGGAGGGGCCAGAGCACAAGCACACTAGTACAGAGGGAGGGGCGGGGGGCACTCTAAGGCCACAGCCGCCACCCTGGGGACCCCAAGCTCCGCCCCGCTCCGTTCCTATTGGCCTTAGGCTCCCCCGCCCCCAGCCGCCTGCTCCAGCACCCGGGCATTTAGGCTACCACAGATAAATAGCCCAGAGCTCCTGGCGCGCGCGAAGTTAGGGGTAAGGAAGCCCCAGAGCGCTCCGTTGGTTTTCCACACGTCCCGCCCCACAGGACAGGGCGGGGTGAGGACAGTCGGGCGTGCATTCAAACGCCCGGCACTTTGCCACTGCACCGCCGGGACTTTGGAGTGACAAGAAAGTTCTGGGCAACTCCTGCCTTTTCAAGTTGAGCGAGGCCAGGTTCCCTGCTGGGATATGGAGCTACTGTCGCCCCCGCTCCGAGACGTGGACTTGACGGGCCCAGACGGTTCCCTCTGCTCTTTTGCCACAGCAGACGATTTCTACGACGACCCATGTTTCGACTCCCCGGACCTGCGCTTTTTCGAGGATCTTGACCCGCGCCTCGTGCACGTGGGAGCGCTCCTGAAGCCCGAGGAGCACTCTCACTTCCCTGCAGCTGTTCTCCCGGCCCCCAGCGCGCGCGAGGATGAACATGTGCGCGCGCCCAGCGGGCACCACCAGGCGGGCCGCTGCCTACTGTGGGCCTGCAAGGCTTGCAAGCGCAAGACTACCAACGCAGACCGTCGCAAGGCTGCCACCATGCGTGAGCGGCGCCGCCTGAGCAAAGTTAATGAGGCCTTTGAGACGCTCAAGCGCTGCACGTCCAGCAACCCCAACCAGCGGCTGCCTAAGGTGGAAATCCTGCGCAATGCCATCCGCTACATCGAGGGCCTTCAGGCTCTGTTGCGCGACCAAGACGCCGCGCCACCTGGTGCTACTGCCTTCTATGCGCCGGGCCCGCTGCCCCCAGGCCGCAGCGGCGAGCACTACAGCGGCGACTCAGACGCGTCCAGCCCACGCTCCAACTGCTCTGACGGCATGGTAAGGCCGGTACCCCAGGCGGGAGGAGAAAAGAAGGCAGCGCTAGGGATATATGCGACGCGTTTCTGAACACAGGGAACTGAACCCTGAGGGGTGGGCCTTCCTGGTGAACTGGGCAGCGGTCGCGGGGGTGGGGGGGGCGTGGATCCCGGTGTACTGGGCAGCTGTCGTAAGAGCAGCCTATTACTGTGGAGGTGCGCAAGACTTTCGCGATCCGCAGGATTGGCGGAGCTATTAGAATACTACTCCGCGAACATAAAGGCACGCTTTTTCTTTACTTATCCCTACTTCCAAAATGCAGATACTGGCGGGGGGGGGCGGTGGATGGGGTGAGGCTGGGGTTGTGGGGCTGGGGTTGTGGCTCAGTAGTACAGTGCTCGCCTAACATGCTTGAGGCACTGAGTTCAATCCTCAGCACCATATAAATGTAAAATAAAGATATTGTGTCCACTAAAAACTTTAAAAATAAATATTTTTAAAAATGCAGATACGTCCATCCTTCATTTGTTTGGCCCTGCATAATGCAGATCTGAGCTCATGCTAGACCAACAGACGCGGTCCCGGAATTCGTGGCTGAAATTTTGGAGTTGGGGAGGGGGCAGCTATAGGGAGTGGTGCTCGGGCTCTTCGCAGTCCCGCCGACCTGACGTGGTCATCCTTGCCGTTTACAGATGGACTATAGCGGCCCCCCAAGCGGCGCCCGGCGGCGGACCTGCTACGACGGCGCCTACTACAATGAGGCACCCAGCGGTGCGTATACCCGGCCTAGCCCTGCCTCCCCGTCCCCTTTGAGCTGTTCCGTCTTCCCTCTAACTAGTACCTCCACCCCCAGCATACATATATGTTGGGTGATGGTGCAGGGAATGAAAACCTAAATGTTCAGCTACTTCCCCTTTCGCCCCCCCCCACTCTCTCTGGACAGTCCCAGACTCTGGTAGGTCCTCAGTGTCCCCTCTGCCCCAAAGCATTGGACCCATGGAGTGAGAGACTTGCCATGGTTCAACCCCTGCTTACTAGCCTACTCCTCCCCGCGCAGAGCCCAGGCCCGGGAAGAGTGCTGCGGTGTCGAGCCTCGACTGCCTGTCCAGCATTGTGGAGCGCATCTCCACTGAGAGTCCTGCGGCGCCCGCGCTCCTGATGACTGATGCGACACCAGAGTCACCTCCACTCCAAGAGGCAGCTGACTCCAGTGAGGGCGAGCGTGGAACCCCTGCCCCGTCCCCGGAAGCCGCCCCGCAGTGCCCTGCAGGCACGAACCCTAACCCGATCTACCAAGTGCTCTGAAAGGGGCAGGCTGCAGTGTCAGAGGGCGCCGCTGCCTACCCAAGGGATGGTACCCCTAGGGTATCTCGCACCCAAAAGATAGAGCTTAAATGCCACTCCTCCCAACTGCGCTTGAAAAGCGACCCCTCCCGAGGTGGGAGAACCGAAGTTTTTCCCGTCCCCCCAACAGGGCAAGAACTCAGCCCGTGTTTTCCACGAAGCACCCTGCCCTGATACCCACGTGATGGCCATTTGAGGTTTCTCCATGAGCCATAGCTGATCCTTGAGGAGCCAGGTTCCCTTTCCTTCCTGCCTCCCACTCCATTTGGGTTGAGACCCTCCCAAACCTAAGCCCCGCCCCTTTCCCCATGCCCAGGTTTTTTTTTGTGGGAGTGGCGTGTCCCCTCTTTTCCAAAACCCTCGCGACACCCACTCTTTCCCATAGCCGACGAGGTGCGCTCCAGTCCCAAATGTAACTGGTGTAACCGTACCCCACCCCTACCCCTCCGCGGTTCAGGACCACTTTTTGTAATACTTTTGTAATCTATTCCTGTAAATAAGAGTTGCTTTGCCAGAGCAGGAGCCCCTAGGGCTGTATTTATCTCTGAGGCATGGTGTGTGGTGCAACAGGGACTTTGTATGTTTATACGTCGGGCGGGAGAGCCGCGGGCGCTCGCTCGCTCAGGTGTTGGAAATAAAAACGCTAATTTATACCACGGTGGCTCGATGGCTTGGCTTTCCCTGGGCGTGGGAGCAGGATCCGAGGAAACTCCGCAGGCTGAGCCAGCTGTCCCGCAGCGACCCCTGTAGGCGGCTGACGGTTGCAAGGAGGCAGCAAGAAAGGAAGATGCTTGTCTCTATTAATAGGAGGGGAGGTTCCTCCAACCTTGAGGTATATCACCACACACAAGTCAGTGGTTCTCCCAGAAGGATGGGAGGGTGCTCATGGCATTAGAAGTAAAAACTAAATGGCCCTGGAGGAGCATTGCAAGCTGTATGGCACTTAAAGGCTCTTAGTGATGGGTGTAACCACAAGGGGAGGGCACAATCAGAAAGGCTTCTCTACTCAGGAACCCATGCTTGAAACATCTTTGTACTGTCTCATCTCAAGGACCCAGGGCCCAAAGCCTGTGAGGAGAGGGCACAGGAACACAGTGGGTATAGGTGTTCATCAGGCTATAAACTCTCCAAGAGCAGGGGAGGGGTCATGGTTTTAGCCAGAGCATGAGGAATACTTCCTGAATGAGGCACCAGTTGAGCTGTAGCTTGAGAAACAAGAGAAGACAAAGCCCACGGAGGGACACCACATACACACAGCCACCTCTGTGCGTCTCTGGATAAAGTTTCTCCCTGTCCACATATATCTCCACCCATGCAAACCCTCTTCTCGAAAACCTACAGGCCCACTTTCAAGGCTTTGATTGTGGAGTCCTGGGCCCGTGCCAGAAGGACCAGCCTTGTGCCACACATAAGGATCCACTCTCTGATCTGAGGAGAGCCTCTGCTCCCTCAACACAGGGTCCCCAAGCAGCCACCTGGAGCATTCTATTACTAGTGAAGCTCTGCTTGTCTTCTGGCTGCTTCCTCAGATGCTTCTCAGGGTTCTTTACACGCCTTTGAGGCCCTTGAGAGCTCATTCAGGACTTTACCTGTTCAACAGATGGCAAGTCCTGTGTTGGGGAAAAAACAGAGAACGTTGGATGCAGTTCCTGCCCTTGGGAAACATTTGGAGCGTGTTATATTTCAAAGAATGAAGCACTATAATAGGGGTGTATGTGTCATGGGATCAGAGGGGAGGGTTCCCTAACCATTCTAGGGAAGGTATAGACAAACAGATAAACTCTAAAAACAGTCTTGAAGAAACTGGTCAGGAAAGAAGGATCAAAGGAGGGTGCTCCAAGCTGAGAAAACAGCAAGTGCAAAGACCCAGAGGTGAGAAAAAGCCATGCCTATAGAACTATGTGCTTAAAGGGAAGGGGCTAGAGGTGAAATGGGGAAAAGGCAGAGACAGAGCCACAGTGGGCCTCATTTGGCCTTTATCCTGAGGGCAATAGGGAGTCACAGAAGAATCAAAATGGGGAAAGGATATAAATAAACCTGTATTTTAGAAAGGTCAGTTTGGGTTGGCAGAATGGATAAGAGGGAACAAAACTTGAAATAGGATGATCTGTCATGAGATCATTGATTTTGCTCAGAGAAGATATGGCATGTCCTGAAATGGGGCAGTGATGGGGATGGAAAGGAGGCATAGAATTGGAGACTGTTGTGCCAAATAATTACAGGTGTTGTGGGTACAATGGAGACCTTTGATGACAGACTCCCTATTTTCATACAGCTTAAAAGCTGAGGAGGAAATGGCCATTAGACAAAGAATCAAGTGAATAAATTTAATGTTATAAATGGTGAGAAATGCTCTAAGGAAAAGCAAAGGGTGCAATGAGAGATGAAAGTGGGGAATGAGAAGGTAATCAGGTGACAAGAGGAGGAAGCAGGATTTCTGCACTGAGTTTCACTCCTGGGGAAACTGCCTTGCAGCAGGGATCACAGCTCAGCAAGCAGAGAGTAAGCTGGACCTCAGTCCCCACTCACTTCCTTATCCAGTTGCTCTTGCGCAATGACCAACCTGCATAACTGTTCACAGCCCCTTGTATGTGGAGACTGTAGGGAAGTGAAGAGAAAGAAGGAGCCATGAATGACTTCAGGCTCTGGTTCACTTTTGAGTGTATTTTGGTGCCATTATAAGGATGGGGACATCCGAAGGAGAAACAGGTATAGGGGTACATTTAGACTGGATGCTTCTGGTCATGAGTAATGGAAACCACATTCAAACTAGCTTACACCCCACAAGGAGGTGGTCTGAAAGGACAATTTGGAAGTAAAGCTGTAAACACCACTCTATCCATGGGTGTCAGGAGCTGGGACTAGAGTCCTTTCACTTTTTCATGCATCTCCCCCTTTGTCTCTACTTAGCTTTACCCTCTCCTAGTCCAGCAACTCATCTCACCATTGAATTCCAGTTAGAAGATTCCCAGAAGAACTCTCCCTGGACCAAGTCAGTCGTGAAGCGGGATTTGCACTCAGGCTGAGGGACTCTGTACACTGTAATCTCAGCTCCCTTGCTATGCCACCTCCACAGAAGAAGTCAAGAGAGGAGTGAGGAAAGTTAGGAGATAGGGGAGCAGCTGGAGATTAGATAATTCACAGAAAAACGGGGTTCAGGCACCTTCCTGGCTTGTCTCTTACCTTAATCCCCATGGGGAACATCTAGCCGAGCTCAACTCCATTTGCAGTGTAGCTGAAACGTCTCTTGCACATGAGGCCATTTTTACCTGAGCTGCACCTGAGTAAGCACGAACGCCATGCCCTCCAGAGATGTAGCATGTGTCTTAACATATGTGCTCCTATGATTAGAGTGCATCACCAGAGGCTGATATACCAAACCGCCCACAGAGTTTAGGCTTCAGGTCCTCTACCTTGCATGAATCCCTTCCAAGGCCCTGAAAGAAGCCCTAGAAATATGTCCACATGGCCTAGTTCTTCTTTAATTTTCCAAAGTAAATTACTCTAAGCTATTGGTTATGACCATTGCCTCTTTCTGGTTCCTCCTTGTGTTGGGTTGCATTTGGGGCACATTGAGATCCTATCTAAATGTATGAATTTCATTTGGGGTGAGTGGAGTGTATTTTAAATAAATGGAATATTTTTAAAAAGGTAATAATGTTGAACCATGATGTAAGTTAAAATGATTCTAACATTAAGAAGACAAACGTATCTAAAACATGTATTTAGATCATTCCAAAAAGTAGTTATTATAAGAAAGGGATAGCTTTTGAATAGATGTGGAAAAGACTCTTATATTGTTTGATAATCCAGTCAATGAAGAATAGTGAATCATCAACACATTGGGAAAATATTTAAATTTTTTGCTCATCTGGCACAAAATACTGACATTAACAAAGACAGCATACCATTTATAATACACCACTATAACAAGACGTCAACACCAACACAATTTTAATGAACTTTACCAATGAAAAATATTTAAAATTTATTACCATACAAGAGAATTCAAAATGCCTTGAGCTCTTACAGCCCCCAGAGGAAAGAAACTTGATTGAGATTTCCCCAAATGTGACACCAATCCTAAAAATGTACATGACATTTCTTTTTTTTTTTAAGAGAGAGAGAATTTTTTTTAATATTTATTTTTTAGTTTTCAGCGGACACAACATCTTTGTTTGTATGTGATGCTGAGGATCGAACCTGGGCCGCACACATGCCAGGCGAGCGTGCTACCACTTGAGCCACATCCCAGCCCTGTACGTGACATTTCTAATAGAGCTGTGAGCCTGAAAGAAGCTTCCTGAAATTATTAATGGTACAAACAAGTTTTGATCAAAACTTTGTTGAAAGAAAGACAGAATGATCTCTCTGTTCTCTGTATCAAAAAAATCTTAGTATAAAACCATGTCACTTGAAGAAACAATCAAAGGATGTGCAGCCGGGTGCAGGTGGAAAGGGGTAGGCTGGAAAAGGCAAGAAAAGGGAGGAACAGGGGGAAGGCAGAAAAATGAGGAGAGGAGGAAGAACATGAGGACAAAGATGATGTGATGATGATGAAGAACGAGTTTTTCTCTCATCTGTAAAACATTTATGCCACCTGCACACAAGTCACTACTATTAAAAAAATTGATTTGAGATTGGGTAATATTTGTTTTAATACCATAAAGGATCATTTTTGCATAGTTAATATTTTTTCAGACAACAATTAACAGTGGGTTTTAATTCATGTAGAACTTTCCCAGGAGCAGGGAAAAGTGAGTCCAGAATAATACATGGATGGCTACATGGTGGCATGGGATTGAGGCCTGACTGTGCCACTCATCAGCTGGGGGCCTTGGAATGTGACCTAACCTATTTGGGCTTCAGCTTTCACTTTGTAAAATAAATTAATGATTTTAAAAGGCATATCCCATGTGTTAGTCAGCTTTTTGTTACCATGATCCAAATACCTGAAAGAACAAACCAGAGGAGGAGAGGTTTATTTGGGGCACAGAGTTTCAGAGGTTCAGTCCATTGTCAGCTCACTCCATTGTTGTGGGCTCGAGGCAAGGCAGAATATCATGGCGGAAGGGTGAGGCAGAGGAGAGCAGCTCAACTCATGACAGTCAGGAAGGAGAAAGAGTGAAGAGCTGAGGAGGAAATAAAATCCCAAAGGCACACCTCCAGTGACCTGCTCCAGCAGCCACGCCTCACCTGCCTACAGTTACCACCCATTTAGTCCATTTAGATTAAAATATTAAATAGATTAATCCAGTGATTAAGTTACAGCTCTTATAATCTATTCATCTCACCTCTGAACATTCCTGCATTGTCTAGCAAGAGCTTACTGTGGGACACCTCATATCCAAACCATAATATCTCACGTCTGAAATTCTTTAGTACTTCACTTAAAGCATTTCAGGAAAACAAAAAAGATAATGAAGTAGATCTTTTACAGATAAGGGATCTGGGAACATATAGACTAAGATTTTTCTCTGACCTCCTGGTTAGCTGATCTTTCCTTATATTTTTTCAAAATATTTTATTGTTATAATTCATATGACATAAAACTCACCCTTTATAGTGTATATTTCATTACTTTGTACCATATTCACAGGGTTGTGCAACCATCACCACTATCTACTTCCAGAACATTTCCATCACCTCCAAAAGA